AATCTATAGTACAAAGAAGTGCCACGCTCATACAAACGAAATACCCACTTTATTTTGCTGGTGGATTTATAATAAATCCACCCAACCTCATGCAACAATGTTCGATCGAGTCACAACTGGTATGATGTTCAGTTCAAACCTATATGTAAGTCAAGTAAGGCTGACGAAAGCCCGACTGCATACGTATTCAATCATACATGCAACCCTCTGTATTATAATATACGCATGTTTGTATGTTTGTTCGCTGTAAAATGTTCAAGCGATCAAACAGCATTTCAGTGACGAAATCAAAATTGTGTACATTTGATAAGTTATTGAATTTAATAGCATATAAAACAAAATTACCTGTTTGCTATTGGTATGAATTGTAGTGTAAAAACACATTACAAATTTATTTATGTCTCAAATCTGATTCTATGATGCTTTATTCTTAAATGTTGTCCATGCGCAATGTTTCCGAAGCAATATTGTGATCACCAATTTTAACATTTCAATCCGGTGTAAATAGCATTCATGCGTTTCGTCAAACCAGGAAGCATTGTTAGTGGTTTTAGTGACTTCTACACATTTTTCCATTATAATTTTTCTTATATTTCTAATATTTTTATTTTCTTTAAAAATCTTTTCAAACACTTTTATATGAATCTTGCAAATATTTTTTAAAATAATTACAAAAAGTCACCAAAAATTCAAACTATTAAGAAGTAGTTCCTTTTGAGGTAAAATATATGCACAAATGTGCAATAAAAACATACATATTAATATACTGCAGACTTAATGTCTCCAATATCACATTTGTACATACATAATGGTTTTTGTAGTGCATCATTTGTTGCAATAACAAAAATAATATATTCTATTACTCTTTACTCCTATGATATGGGCCTTTCCAGTACAAGAAGATAAAGCAACAAAGTGTATCGAAAAATTATTTGAGGGATTTCTTTACCATTCACTTCGCTACTAATCAATGTATATTAATTAAATAGACAAATAAAAACAAGAAAGGCAAAAGAAACAGGCGTATAAAAACAATTGTGGGTTGCAATGAGTTTGAACTGAACATCATACCAGTTGTGACTCGATCGAACATTGTTGCATGAGGTTGGGTGGATTTATTATAAATCCACCAGCAAAATAAAGTGGGTATTTCGTTTGTATGAGCGTGGCACTTCTTTGTACTATAGATTCTTTGTTTTAAGCAATCCTTTCAGTAAGGTGAAATGTTTTTTGTATATGAAATTCAAGAAATTCTTAACTAGTTGATAACAACATTGTAAACAATAAGGATCAATTTCATCGCATAGTGTTAGAAGAAATATTAAATATATAAGCATTTTCCGCACCACCTAAGAGGTATGTTTGCTGGCGCGTTACCGAGTTTTAGGTGTTCGGTTCCCCAATAGGCCTATCCACCAAAATGTTTTATTTAACAAATATACAATTTTATGTGAATACAATTTAGAATAACTTAATATATACAAAATAATATTACTATTTTAAAAATATTTAATATTAAACCAAAAATAATAAGGAACTATTAAATTAAAGATAAATTATAAATAAATTTAATAAATTATAAAATTAAAACTAAAATGTTTTATGTTTAAACAAAAAATCACTTAAAGAGTATGAACACTTTTGTGCTGTTTATAAGTGTTGAAAGCATAATTGTTTATGTTTAAAATTCGACACTTTATTATCTCGATTGAAATATTTTAAAATGAAGTAAATTCTTACTTTAATGAAAAAAGATAGAAGAGTTTCAATTTTGCAATTAGAGCAACATATATAGGGATGAACGTTTTCTAATTTATTAAATAAATGTTGCGCTAAACCTAATTTATAGCAATTGCTATCGAACTGATCCGAAAATTGTGATTCTAATTTTTCAATATATGTATATATAATAACAACACTCAATCAAAGTATAATTAATAATATTAATTTCTCTTCAGGATTTTTCCTTTTTTATAATTATTAGTATATCATGGAAAAAATAAAAAATAAAAGCACAACTTAATTCGTAGTTTATTATATACACTAATTAGGCACACATCTAAGTTTCTAATGTGTTAATACATTTATATATTTACTTTATTCTACAACAATAAATTGCGTTATTTTTAATTAATAATATACCTTCGATAATCCTTTGGAAAAATATAGAGATGTTTGAAATTTAAACATCCAAGTACGCACTTCCGTTTCAATTGTAAATAAATTTTAATTAACAAATAATTCATATATTTTTCTGGAATAATTACCTTTTTTTAATGCTTTTATAATTGAAAACAAATTCCGCCTTATTTTTCTTTTAGTAATGTGGTATTTGTGCACTTAATTGCAACTTTGGCGCATTTTCTCGTAACGGATTTTTAATGTCAAAAAACCAAAACAAACAACGAAATTTCTCAGAAACCTCTCTTACTTTAGCAAATATCGTGGTGAGTAGGGACAAAATATATGTAAAGATAAAAGAGTTAATCATAATATATTGTTAAAGTCTATTTGAATAATAAATATAAATAAAAAAAAACATAGAATTTGGTGTCCCCACTGGATAGACTTTGGCAAAATTTCTATGTTCGAATGCAAATACGTATTATTTCTGAGTTTCCTTCATAAACAAAAACTTTTATACATCAGTGAAACAGTGAGTCTATGCAAAAATCTTGCCAAAGTAAAAGAGTGTAAAGCATATGTAGAGTATAAATAGCTTAATTACATAGAAAAACTGAAATATAAACATACCATAAATTGTTACCGGCAAAGATATTTTCGAATTTAAAATCATTTAAGAAAGGTGGTATCATCGCCGATTAAGTTGATGCCGCCAAAAATGTTTCTGAATTAGAGATAATTTAGTGAGGTGGCAGCATCTCCATTCAATTTATTGCCGGCATATAATTTTGTTTTTATTTGATGGAAGTCATGGAAGTCAGACCAAAACAGTGCTATTTGTGTAAAAAAAATTATTCGGGAAACGGTTTTAAAGTTACGAATGAACACTACATTACATTTATAAAAAAGAGATTCAAAGAATTTCGCCAAACCTGCCAAATATGCGAAATATGCAACAAAATTGTAAAAAAGGCTTTTCGCATTAAATGGAACAATGCTATAGAAATGAAAAAAAAAAGTGAATATGGTGTTTCATCTGTAATGGAGGACACAGAGGCGACGAATGCATCAAAACAAAGTACAAATATAAATACTGAAGTCACAGGTGTAACTAAAGAATCGGCGTCATCTGACGACAGACCAATGACTAGTGCTGCGGCAGCTGCACGAATTCTTCCCATAAAGGAAGAAACTAATGACAACTTAAGTTTAAATGCGGTTAATGGAACGCGAAGACCTGACTACCAACCAATACCTAGAAGAAGAGAATACCAACATCGAGACCCACGAGTAATGGACATGTATTTAGTTGGTATAACAGGTGGATGAATATATTATAAATATCTTAATACATTGGATCATACATTGGAACGCTCATTTAAATATCATTGTTATAATACACATAATTTATTGTTTTTTTTATTGAATCTGTAATTATTAACGTAATTTTTGAAAATTTAATTTTGTTTTTAAATAAAATATATATAATTTTATAATAATTGTTATAATACACATAATTTATTGTTTTTTTTATTGAATCTGTAATTATTAACGTAATTTTTGAAAATTTAATTTTGTTTTTAAATAAAATATATATAATTTTACAATAATTGTTATAATACACATAATTTATTGTTTTTTTTATTGAATCTGTAATTATTAACGTAATTTTTGAAAATTTAATTTTGTTTTTAAATAAAATATATATAATTTTACAATAATTGTTGTGTTGCTATTTATTTACAATTGAGATTTTTTATGAAACAGCCTAAGTATTCGTGAGAGCAAAACGATTATTAACCACAGTATATATAACACTAAATGCGTAAAGCGGTTTGGAGACAATACGGTATAGGTGGGATTATAATCTGAAATAAGAAATATAATACGTATTTATTGAAATTTGCAGGAAATACGTAAAATAACCTAATGCACTGTAGTTAACTATCGTTTCTTTCAATTGATAAGATGCTGTATCCTTTTTGATTGCATAATGTCGGTCGTTGGTGGATGTATGAATATTCAAAAGACGTGCCAATGTTCTGAAAATATCACGTGGTATAGTTTGTGTACAGGATCACGCGATAAACCAATTTGCAAACAATTTTTATTTTTATTATTCTCAAGGTTCCGAATTGTATAATCCAATAAGATGCAATTTGGAAGAAACAAATTTTGTTATAAATGAATAGATCTACTTCGATGAAATGTTTGAATTGAAGTATTATAGTGTTTAATATTATATTTAATCTCTGATATATTTTTTTTCTAAAAAAATTTTTAGAAAATAAAACTTTTAATATAATATAATACAGAGGGTTGCATGTATGATTGAATACGTATGCAGTCGGGCTTTCGTCAGCCTTACTTGACTTACATATAGGTTTAAACTGAACATCATACCAGTTGTGACTCGATCGAACATTGTTGCATGAGGTTGGGTGGATTTATTATAAATCCACCAGCAAAATAAAGTGGGTATTTCGTTTGTATGAGCGTGGCACTTCTTTGTACTATAGATTCTTTGATTATATTATAAATTTGTAAATTTATTTTGTTTATGTTGTGTTACTTTCTATTACAAAATTTATTATTGATGTTTGGATTTATATAAAAAATTGAAATGTAAAGAAAGAGTTTTTCAAATGTGTAAAATGGTAATAAGTCTGTTCAAGTAAGATTTTAGTAGATCAATTTTATAAATAGTTGTACAAATAGAGTACACAGGCCCAATAGATGATGATTTGGTGTTTTGGACAAAGAGAATCTATACAGAGAAATTTTTACAGGGAAAATCCTAAATAAATGAATGTTAAAAACTAAATTTATATATTCTAAATTTATGTATTCTCAATAAAAATGGAATAATGTAAAAACAAAGTTAAAAACCCATCAAAAGTTAACTGCTGTTAGACTAAGTATTTACAAACCGCAAGTCGATTGCAACCAGGTAACAGTGAATACTGTTACCTGTAGACGCTTGTTTAGGCTTGTCATGATGAGAAGTTTAAATGAATGTAAAGGTGACAATGCAAGCACCTAAAACAAAAAGAATTACATACTTAGTAGTTTTTCAATATTTTTCTTTTTATTTTCCTGAACATTAATTTTTATTAACTTTCCTTCAAAAAATATATCTTTTGGTATTTTTTTAGTTGCAGAATGTATTATTTTATAATTATAATAGTACAATGTACTTTCCACTTGGTGATATAGTTCTTCTACATCTTTTTTTGTTCGTATTATTCTTAGATTTTCATTAAATGTGCCATGAAATCTTTCTGCTATTCCTGTTTTAAAATGGCATTCAATAAATTCTACTTCTTCACCTTGTAAACAATTTTTAAAAGAATATAAATAAAAACAACTATCTCTATCTGCTTTAAGTTTCTTTGGTTTACCCATGTTATTAAATATGTACATCATAGTCTTTTTAGCTTCTAAGCAATCAGAGCTAGTCATTTTGCAAGCTTGTGCATATTTTGAATAGACATCGATACAAGTTAAGTATCGCACATTATCGAAGGATCAAATATCTATCATACATAGTTCTCTTATGCTCTTTACTTCAGAAGTTATTTTAAGTTCGTGTTTAATGGGATTTCTGTCGTGTTTCGCTACTGCACAAATGTTACAATTATTTATTATTTTATTTATTTCTTTTTTTTAAGTTTGGGTAATAATACATACAGTAAACATTCGAAAACGTGAACTAATTAAAACCAAGAGAGTTCACGTTATCAAATTGTTCAAGTTTTCGAGTGTCAAACAAGAATAAAGTAAATACTTATTTACACATATAAATTCACATTTTGTTTCTTTTTTTGTGTACATATTAATTTATACTTAAGATACATATATAAAAATTTTTATTTAAAAAAGTCAGTCATTTTTTTTTTTGGGTCTTCTTTCTTTCTAACAATTGAAACATTCCATTCTCTCTTAGACGTCTATAAGTACATTCATATCATTTTGATCGACGCCTTCGTGACTGGCCCACTGTATTGCTTTGTTGAAAATTTCAACTGCTTCACTTGGTATAATTTTCACCGATGCCTCTGAGATGCAGTCCTCGTCAGGTTCGTCCTCATGTCCAATATCATCATGCGCATTATCTTCCTCAATATCTTCGTTCCATTAACATTTGATAACGTAAATTCACTCTGAAATTGTTGATAAGAACAAAATTTTCTATAACTATAAGAAGAAAACTTAAGAAGATCGGTGGTGCTGCACAAGAAGGAGCGAAGTTCAGTTTCCCATTTTTCTTTTAAAATCGCCAAAGGCATACTATCTTCGGGATCATCATCATTTACAGTAAAATTTAAAATATTTTTCCAGCACTTAGACAGAATTTGTTTGCCGACACGACTCCAAGCGGCTTCCAAAAAATTTATAGCACTTTTTAATGTTATTTTCTTCATAGACTCGAGCAAGTCAGATTGCCTTGCTGCTATTGAAGCAAGAAGGCTATTTCTGTAGTATAACTTCGTGATTTTTATTGAATTCTGATCCATCGGTTGAATGAGGGGAGAAACGTTTGGTGGCATAAACATATTTACCCATCTTCCGTTGTCAGTTCAGCCTCATTTGGATGGGAAGGAGCATTGTCGATTAAAAGAAGAGCTTTAATTGGCAAGTTTTTTTCTTTTAAAAATGATTTCACCTTAAATAGCGACAAATTTTAGGAAAATGTATACAGCATTCAAAAGAACGAATCCTTACCTGAGGAACGAATGATTGATGAAACCATTCTTTTAAAATAGTCGCCGTCATCCAGGCGGATTTTGAGTTTTTATAGTTGGTAGGACACTGGAGGTTTTTAAAGCATCGTGGGTTTTTCGCCTTTCCAATTACCAAAAGTTTAAGTTTATGAGATCCAGTGGCGTTTGAGCAACACAAGAAAATGATTCCCTGCTTCTCCGACTTTACACCTGAAGCGCTCTTTTTTAAAGTGGACACGTACGTTTTTTCTGGCAGAAGTTTCCAAAATAAGCCGGACTCATCGGCATTATATACTTGATCGTTACACAACTCGAATTCAGCAATTTTATCTTAAAATTTTTCTTTAAACGGGTTCACTAACTGAGACTGCGAAGACAGTTTTTCGCCAGATATTTGCAGAAGTTGAATACCGTATTTTGTTTTGAATCCTTGAAACCACCATAAAGCATCTGCATTTGTTTTACCCTGAATATATTCTATTTTATAATCAAATTCTGCTAACTTTAATTTCCATCTCACCAATTTACAATTTGGATCTTTTATATTATTCAACCATTGTAATGGTCTATGATCAGTTTTAATAATAAACTTTTGTCCATACAAATAAGGTCTAAAGTATTTTGTTGCCCACACGATGGCTAGTAATTTTTTTTCAATGGTAAAATAATTAATTTCGTGTGCATTTAGTGGTCTTCGATGCCAAACAAACTGGTTTACTGTCTTGACTTAGAACGCCTATAGCACAGTCTGATGCATCAGTTGTTAGCTTAAATTGTTTATTGAAATCGGGGTAAGCTAAAATAGGATCTTTGCTTATCAAGAGCTTTAATTTTTTAAAAGAGTCTTTGTAATCTTCTGAATTAACTTTTATACCTTTTTTCAACTGATTTGTAAGAGGTTTAGATATTGTCGTTGCTATTGACAATTATTTTTACTTTGTATATTATTGTCGTTAATATTGACAATGTGTTCTTAACACTTTGTAATCCACAAGTAACAGAATTTAAAATACAATGAATTTAACTTAAAATTTTTACTAAGCTATTTTTACAATATAAAGTTACAAAATTGTTTGCTTAAAATTTTTGCTTACACGTTCCACTAAAAAATCTCTCTACTACTGCGCACCAGTTATCTACCTCTCTTTTGTGTGTCTTTTTATCCGTCCCCTTCATATCTATCAGGGATGCCAGATGTGTTGTTTGGTTGTACTTGTTGCTTACTTACGTTTCACTTACGTATCGTAAATACGTTTGGGTGGACACCACAATATCTTAGCAAAATCTTTAATGAACTTTCTATAATATCCTGCTAGTCAAAGGTATTGCTTTATTTCTTTCTGAGATTTGGGAATCGGAAAGCCTACAATAGCTTGAATCTTTTGCGGATTTGGTTTCACTCCATCATTAGTTATAACATGTCCTAAATATTCAGTTTCCTTTTTAAGGAACGCACATTTATTTATTTGAATTTTTAAATTGGTTTCTTGCAATCTTTTAAATATTTTAGTTAAGGAATCAATGTGTTCCTGTAAAGATGTGCTAAATATTATAATATCATCAAGATATACGAAACAAATCTTGCCAATGTAGTCGGCAAGTACC